CCATGGAATACCTGTATAGCGCGAGTATGAATAGGTGTGAAATTCCGGAAATCCATCAGGCCTTTACCGATGCATCCGCGAATAAAGTTAGGGCCCAAGAGGGCAGGCAAACTATGAATTTAAATTATCCAGAGCGATTTATTATTATGCCATTCCTACGACTCGTCGTTTGTAAAGCACGAGTAGGTATTTGACTTAGTCGTTGCATGAATTTACTTATTTTTGCGGAAGAATACGTCCATTTATAAACATGCTTGGCTTTCTTTGGTTGATATTATAATCGGAAGATTGGCAGCAGCCAGTGGCGTGGCGTAAATGATCGATTATCGATTTTTCCCCATTTGTAGAGGCTATGGTAAAGAATCGATTATTAAGGTGTTCGCTGCGAACACCCCCTGTTTATCGATCCTCTTCCATAGGTTTAAAGCGCAGATAGATCAATTTATCGCAAAGCACCCCTCGCCACTGACGTATAAGCTACAAAACACATCATCTTTGGGTATCAGGAGCTAATAACGACAATTTATGCTTTGTATCCTACATACACAGACCACAGGACACAGGATATGCTAAGAGCAACGGAGATGGATTTCTGGAGAAGGTCAGCAGGAATTTCTAGAAGAGATCGGGTCCGTAATGATAGAGTGCGTCAGATAATGGAAGTCGAAAATGACATCGTGTTTGACGTCATGACCAAACAACTTGTTTGGTATGGTCATGTCAATAGGATGACGGAAGAGAGGCTGCCAAAAAAGATGCTTGATTGGGTACCTCCTGGGAGGAGACGTAGGGGACGCCCAGTGAGAGGTTGGCGACAGGGGGTGTTAAATGAGATGAGAGATTGTCAACTCCCTGATGACCTGTGGGAAGACCGAGCTTTGTGGCGATTAGGCGTCGTAAAGCGCCAAAGAGCGCTGTAAAAGCGATATATATATATATATATATATCCTACATAATATTTTTTTCAGAGCCCGCCACCACCGGCTCCCCTAGTCCTACAGATGCAAGAGGAGGACCTGGGTTTCATCGCAAACGGTGTGGATCATTGCACGGGTATGTCGATTTGGAGACCGCAACGGAATCACATAGCTCACACCCACTGTCGACATGCGGCGGCGGCGTTCAACCGGTTGCCAGTGGAGCAGAGGGATCGCTGCATGTTCACGGCGAGACCGCGGTGTCGCCCGATGCCGGTGGTGAAGAAGTGCACGGTGCTCCGGAGACGAGTGAGGTATCACCCATGCCGCCTCCTCGGATTCAAGTACGAGACGACCGAGCTGGCCTGGTGCGTCGCACATTTGGGTATAGCCATGCCCGTAATCAACGATCCACCTCCCGAACAGGAAGCCGATGAGGAGAATCAGGCTGACGAGGAGGAGGATGATGATGATCCCGATGCCTGGATGGATTAGGAGGCTGTTGAACCTGCCGGCGGATTGTTGAAATTGATAGACAAAGCTATAGACAAAGAGGACATAGGGAATTTGAAGGGATCCCATGGATCGGAATGGATGACTCATTGACTCAGGGCCGAATTGCCGCGCAGGCTGGTCAGGCTGGAGCTGGGGGGGGAGCTTCTTAAGGGCGCCAAATTTTGAATTTTATCCAGACTATGAGGGGAGAAAAAAAGAAAATTCTCGTCATCAGGAGCTGAAAAATGTGTGGAATAGATAAGTCTATGCGCTCCGCGCCCCGCGCCCCTTCTCTGGGCGCGGAGGCAAAAAGAAAAGGAGCAGGAGGGGGGGGGGCGCAAAGAAATCAGTAGCCTAGGGCGCCAGATTCCTTAATCGGGTACTGGGATGAATCCTTTACACTAAGGGAGAAAATGATGGACAATAACTGTGGGGAGGGTCTCTCGTTGGTTGCCGCTAGTTAGTCTATTACCTACCTTCTTTGTCCATTGCAAACACTCGCTTCCACCAATAGGATCCCTCCATCCCTTTTGTCCGCTTTGTCTACCAATGTCAAGAATCACGATACTGCTCCGTAAAAACGCACAAAACGAGCTTGTTTAATAATATGTAATTTGCGCTGGTCTCAGAATTGTAATTGATGCTTGATTCTTATTGATCAGCTAGAATTATTAAGATTCGTTCTAACAGCAACTTTCTAAGTTCATTATTAACTGAGATATCGCGCTTTGAAAAATTCGGTTAATCGTTGAAATATCATGTTTCTCGCAAAATTGTACCCACGAAAGCGTACTTATCACGCAAATCCCTGCCGCGTGCAAGAGATTCATTGAAAAAGTTATTTGGAGGTTGGCATAATCGCCATAATTTCAGATTTTGATATTTCGACAAAATACTATTCTTAAGATAGGACGCTTCTTACTAACAAGCGGTTCTATCAAAGATGTATTGAAACATCTTTTTTTTTCAATTGTATATCTACTTTAGTGCAAAAAAAAAGTTCGCCAAGGAAAAATTCACCACGTCTGAGTGCACGAGTTAAATAAAATATATCAGGGTATTTCATGCAAATCCCAACTGGGTCAATGCTACGTCCAAAAGATATTTAAACTTGGTTCGGAAGGACATCCTCTATCATCCTAGAGCATCATGTAGTTTAGTTTATATTAAAAAGCCTGCAAAAGAGTTGTAAATTAGGGCGTTAAGTCTTTGTAGAGCTCCTAGGATAACCGATTGAAATTGTAAATTGTTTTTTTTCCCCTTTTTAAACTGTGGATTTAAACTTCAAATCAAACCATCATACAATTAGTTTGATCTGGGTATTTGGCGTATTTTTTGTGACAAAATATTCACAAGGCATTAGATTTTATCATTAGTCCCATCATAACAATGTTCAATTTTTCTACATTATAATCCTTCACCTTGTAGAAATCGCATGAAAGTTTTGCCCTTAATCCAGTGTGTGTTTTGTTACTTTTTGAAGACGAAAATTCAGTATTTAAATTTTTTTTGCCCTGAAAGTTCCGAGGTTATTGATAGCTTTCAGCATAATCATATTATATTTAAGTTCATATAAATATGTTTCTTTGAATCATTTAATTGTAATTTTTTCTCTAATTAAATACATGTTTAATAAAATTTGAAGCATAAACAATGTCTTTTATTTTGAAAATTATGATGATATCATGAATTTGTAAGTCCTCCTTGATTTGAAATGTAAAGTTCTTATGAACATTACAATTTGCTTGCATTTTTTTTGCTGGTGAAGTCCCAGAAAATGTTGGCATTAACAAATAAACCTGGAAAGAACAATAACAAAAAAGAGACAAGTATTTGATTTGACCTTTAGGTCATTCAAGCCAAAATTCAATCGAATCAGAAAAAATCCAGGCAGAGGAGCAACATCGTTGCTTAATCCGTCAATCCTTGAAAATTTCTGTTTTTTTCCTCTGTATGTGAAGGAAACTCTATGAAAATTTTAAGAAATGATATTGATTTGTTGTCCTTCGAAAGAAAAATGGGAGCGGAAATGTTTTAACACTGCAAACGATATAAGTGATCTGTTAGATTCACCATTAATATGCACATACAGGACAGATTCGTGTATACTTCGATGAATCGCCGTAATGTTTTATTTCATAATAGATGAATTTTCCCACATTACTGTAAGCAACTACCTACTACTGCTCTTCAGCCACTTTTTTTTGTTTTTTATTTATTTATTTTTTTTTTAAAGCATTTAGGGGGAACTGATCATATTGAGTGCGTCCACTGCACGTGTTCACCAATATAATGTTTGATACGAATAAACATTGCCTTACTGCAAGCAACTATTAGCGCTCCTAAGCCGCTAATATTGCCTATTTTCGTATTGAAGGCGAACTGGTCAGAGTGCGCAGGTATAGTACTTTAAGTTCAGTGGAGACTCACGCAGATTGGCAGACCTGGATCCTCGGGTTTCATTTGTTTAAATCCATATAAAATAATCGATATCTACCAAGGGCGGTTGTCTCAACAGAAATTGATCAATTAAAATTGTTATAAATGATAGAAATGTAGTTATAGTTATATTCCCCACGTATTTTTTAATTACGGTCTAAAATCCTTACCACTGCGCAGTGTGTCTTTTAGGATTAAAATTCATTTGCGTTGAGAAAAAAAGGTCCGGTCACAAATGTATAACTCCGGTTTCTATGACCGAAAAATTCGGGCAACTAAAATTCAGGATCTGTTACCAACTTTTCACTTCAATGTAGCTGGTATGGTATAGGGAGAAGAGGTCTCCTTATGCATCGCTACACAGTGGGATTTTGAAGATTGCCACATGAAATATTTGAATGTTGCCAAGCGCTACTAGGTGATTCTTTGATTATAGATTATATGTTTCGTTCGGTAAAAGAACAAAAATATTCTTGCTTCATCATATTTTTATGGTGCAGTGTTTTCAAAATTTTGATTTTCACTTGATGACACGTAATGCGGTATAATTTGGCCTACTAGACTCCCGTTCGAGGAGAACTTTAGTTGCAGAATCTTAGCGACTTTTGATGACATTATTTTCATTCTTAGTATGCACTCTTATTTTATAATCTCAATCTAGAGATAAAATTATGCAAAAATTGAAGTACACACATGAATGAGCGCAAACTGAGGACTAAGAGAACTAAACCATGGGATACCTTGCAGTCGAGTCAAAATTTTAAGTAGGTTTTCTCTGAAAAACCTTTGTATTTGAGCATTATTCTCTTCCTACGTAAAACAGGGTGGATATATGAGGTAATCTACCCCTACTTCAATACCGTCCCGCATCTATTCACGGCAAATACTTTTTTGACTCATCTTTTTTGCCAGTAATCAGTTGTTTTCATCAGCTTTAAGCCAAATAATTTGAGGATCTTGTAAAGTGAATAACCTGCCTTGCATGATATCGTGCGCTCAGCACCATCAACTGAGTTCCTCGAATAATTCACGGGTTTTCCTCACCGGCCTGCAACAGATTTTCGAGATAGAGACCTTGAATTTGAACTTTTTTCCAGTGAAAAGCTTGCACGCTGAATGACAGCAAAGCACTTTGCACTGGCTCAGTCTACAACTTGCACGTCATTGCGTTAGTGTGGGCGAGTTTTTTCCTTTCTGTCTGGTTAGAGGTTCGTTCCATGCCACATGATGCTATTCATCCGGGTCCTTTTATGTGGTGCTTTATTTTTAGCGAATGCTTCAGCGGCTCTGAAAATTGGAGCTTCAGAGGTCAGTTTGGTTTTTAGTAATTTTATATTTGCCGGAAAATCTCTCTAACTTTATTTTTTATGTGAGTTCAGGCTTTGGGCTCTATGTAGTCAAGGGAGTTTCTGTAAAAATAGTATATTTTAACGATAAGTCAAAAAGAGAAGAATACAAACGGGATTTTCAAATTGTAGATGTGGTCCAACAACCATATGTAATCAAGGAACTGTATATTTTCCTTTTCGATCTCAGCTACCTTCTCTATAAATTTTTAGACTTTGAAGCACAGTTCTAAGCGTTGAATTTCATCCTTTTATTTCTTTTTATTCGTCTGGTATCTGTGCTATAAAGAGTGACAAGTATTTACTCCTTTCCGCCAGTTAACGCCAATAAATTTAGTTAATTTGCCCTCTCCAGCAAAATATGCATCATTGTGAGTGGAAAGCTGGAAAACACTCCACCATAGGGGACCTGAAAGTTTTACCCCAATCACGAGGGGGCGAGGAGGCGAGGGGGTTGGCGGGGGGGTTGGGTGGCGGGGGGTGGCCGGGGGGGCCTCCGCCAGGAACATTTAGAAAATTGATACGTCTCCGGAATAGTTTTGAGTGTTTCTTAGGGAAAGCTTTCAAAGATGATAGAGATAATGTGTTTTTTGTTTTTTATTTTTTTATTGTTTACTTTTATCTAAATCTTACAAAGTTTTTGAAGGAGGCTAATTGTAGGTAGAACTCTACAGACACTGGGCCGTCCTCCAGCCATATATCCACTAGCTCCAGTTTAAAAGAAGATAAAAAGAAAAATAATTGAACTAGATATGTACTGCAAGAATATATACGCCTGAATCTGATATAAAATGAACCTACGAATCTAAGCACAAAGTGACGTTCCTATAACTAATGTGTCCAGGTTTGCGGAAAACAACCATTACAATTAATTATTTACGAAATTTACAAACGAATTTTGAACGGATTTGATTATCCTAGAGTAATAAATTGAAGAAATAAACTTGCAATATTTTAACTAGTCTTTTTGCTCACATTCATCCTTTCGCAACCATCATCTTCTTTTTCACTCTCTTCCGTATTTTTGACCAATAAAATAAGTCTTGATGGAAGTTCAAAGGTCTCCCATCCTTTTAATCCCATTTCTAAAATAGTGATTTCTAAAACGTTCACATATACATGCCTTTTTAGCTTCCTATCGTAACACATCGTAGTTGCAACAATTACTTATGCAACAGTGGGTACCTACTTTAGTGCTCTCCAATTGCATTTCATTCATTACCAAGATACCTCATTACCTTCATTTGCCAAGATACCTCGCTGATCTCACGTAGAGGCTTTGCTTGAAACTTTCTGCATACATAAAATCCGCTTTCACACTGTTCTCTGGCGCTCTGCAACTCCTAATCGCCACATTTCTCTATTCCTCCAAAGCTTTTGGGGGATTTGACACTCCCTCATTCCATGTATTCCCCTGTCACCGCCCTATAACCGGGGGTACCCTTCGTCTCCGTGCGAAGGGAATCTAGCAATCTATTATCTTCTTTGGCATTGATGATAGCCTTTTTTTCGTCATCCTGTAAAAATCACCATACCAGACTAGTTGTTTGGTCATGACGTCGAATACGATATGAGTTTCGACCTCCATGATCTGACGCACTTTATCACGATGGACCCGATCCTTCCTAGAGACTCCTGCCAACTTCCCCCAAGAAACCATCCTCGTTACTCCTAGCATGCGTCATGCTTTATTCTTCACCTGTTAAACATCACATTTATAGGTTAAAACTTCCATACGTTGAAACTGTAAACTCTCGACCTTATTTTTATTAGATTTACTTGAACATAACCTCAAAGTAGGCCTCTAGACAAGGTATAGGATAAGGTGATTCGACGGTTGTCATTTTTTTTGTGTTAGAGCGACGCGCGATATATCGCATCAATTCATTCCATATAATTTTCAGCTACTTGTCATTTTTGTCGAATTTTGAGATCGCACTCCTGTTGTCATGAGACTAAATGTCATGTACCAAATTTGACAAAGAAATTCAACGTAATAAAGGCAGGGATTTTTAGAGGAAAAAGATCGCATTCGATACTGTTGTCGAAACTGCAATCGAATGCGATGCGATATTTATCCTCTGAAAAAACCCTGCCTCCAATACGTTGAATTTTTTTTTGTCAAATTTGGTACATGAATTCTTTAGTCTCATGACAATAGAAGTGCGATCTCAAAATTCGAAAAAAAATTACAAGTAGCTGAATGGGCCTGTTGCAAACTTTTGCTAGAGCAAAAATAAGAGTTGTTTCTTGTAGATAATGCCTCAAAAATCACGATGAGCGCATCGGCAAAGTCTGAAATGCACTCATAACTTCACAATCTGCGTAAGAAATTTGCGTTTTTTTAAGCTTCCCGCTTCAAAAACGATACTACGGCACAGATGAACATTTTGTTAGAGGAGTCGCTCCATCGTCGGCGATATTCATCATAGCCGACGCTTGCGCGCAGTTCCGCGCGTAATTCGAGGAGAGTTCAAGGTCAATCAATTCGGGCGTGGAAAATATGAACGTTAACACACCGATTATTATCTGGTCTAATCCAGTTCAGGTGTTATCTCGTCCCATCAAACGTGTTTTGGCGGATTGGCGTCGGCCATGATGATTATTGCCGACGATGAAACGACTCCTCTTACAAAATGTTCACCTGTGCCGTAGTATCGTTTTTGAAGCGGGAAGCTCAAAAAACCGCAAATTTCTTACGCAGACTGTGAAGTTATGAGTACATTTCAGACTTTGCCGATGCGCTCATCGTGATTTTTGAGGCATTATCTATAAGAAACAACTCTTATTTTTGCTCTAGCAAAAGTTTGCAACAGGCCCATTTATGGAACAAATCGATGCGATATATCGACGTCGCTCTGACACAAAAAATGGCAACCGTTGAATCACCTTAAAGCACTTCGTAGCAAGTCCCCTCTTCAAAATCCCTCGAGAGAAACTAATCATACTACGAAAATTCTATAAATCAACTCTTAAACTAAGTATTGATGTTTACAAAATTGGTTGAATTGCAAACATACATGGACCTAACATCCATTTGATTTTTGCTTAAAAAATTATTGTTAACATCTCGTTCGAGAGTTGATCTCCAAACTCCTTGTTGTGTAAATCGTTTATTCCTACGTGCAATTTTGAATATGAAAAATGTAACGTTTTCTTCTAATTCAGACCTTGTTGAGGAGTGCTAAGACCGTGCTAAGGAAGAACGCCGTATGAACATTCGAGACTGGCCAAATTTCCTTCGATAAAATGTTTATTTTTCAGTAAAAATATGTGTATTTTTCCCTGAAAATTTCAGGAGCTTTAGATGAAATTGCGAACGAAATTTTCTGAAAAAGTGGAAGGAAAATATTCAGAAGTTCACCAGGAAATTCGTGTTTTATCAAAGGAAATTTGGCAACGCCTAAAGGTTCATACGGCGTGTTCTTCCTTAGCTCGGCATTATTGCTTAATAGATTTTAATATGCGATTATTCAGAAAAATTTCGTTTTTCAGACGTCAACGCCAGCTCTCATCGAACAAATTTACCGGCCACGTTTGATAAACATGCTTCAGCGCGACTCTTGCAACGACGTGAGAGGATGGGACTTATCAGAGACGCATCCCGCCTACCAGGAATGCAAAGACGCGGCGACTGGATTCAACTCTCTTCCAGAAGGCGTTAGAACTCGCTGCACTTACACGATCAGACCAAAGTGCCGCGGATTCCCAAAGAAGGTTTGCTCTGTCCTGATCGTCAGGTCTCTCCTTAACCCTTGTCGCTGGGGCCTCGGGCTTCAGGGAAGGACCGTCTCCCTGGCTTGGTGCGCGCAACCGTTGAATTTGGGCAACAACGGTGGTAATCAGGCTAATCAGGCTGATGATGCTGATCCCCCGGCTATTCCAGGTTTCGCCAATATTCCCGGTTTTGATGAGGTTGGGCGTAAATAGAGTTTTTCAGGGGCTGAAATTACGTAACGCTCTAAGGGGTGGCTGGGTCTTCATAATTTGGTGACCGAGCGTGGCCAAGTGTGGGATGTGTCAAGCACAGCGTTACGTAACAGCGTGTGGATGGATTTCAATTTCCTTTTCTTTTCTTTTTATGTTCTATATATGCTAGTTTGTTTGTTTAATTAAGTTTTGTCTCTTGAAACACTGATCCTTGTCAGCGAGAGAACCTACTATGCCATCCCCCACTCTCCGGTGAAAAAATTTCTTTCGAGTTTATTGTAGTAAGTTGAAGTAAATGTAACGTAATTATTTTAGGGGTGTTTGGACCAGCGTTACGATCGCGTTACAAAGGGTGGGTGGGTGTCAATAAATCGGAAAAAGTCCGTTACGCTAGTTTTGAATGGCCCCTCATAGGATACACCCAAACGAGGGCTTCAGATCAAGCCGAAGGGGCGAAATGACACTTCCATGAGTCTGCCCTATGCGTAGCGGTTGGCTGGGGGCAGACTCCTGGTTTTACATAGGATTAGGTGTAGTCCATTTTGCAACGGAGAGACAATACTTCTGGCTGGTTCATGGCAGTACCTATCTCCAAAGAAGACATGCAATTTACATTGATCTTTGCATTTCAACTTTGAGTCTGTTTCTATTTGTTAAAATGTCAGAATTTACAACATGTGATTTCGGTAAAAATTTGAACAAATAAATACGTTTCTTTCTCTCAAATCCAAAATCGTAAGGTGAGGGTAAAGGTGTACTATCCTTTCTCAGTTCGAACCAAGTCGGCAGCATCAAAAAGTACAGAAACCTATGGAACATTCAGACCCGTAGATGATAAGCAGTGGCGTGGCGTGAAGGATCGATTATCGATATCTCGCCATTTGAAGCTATGGTAAAGAATCGATTACTAAGGTGTTCGCTGCGAACACCCTGATAATCGACTTTTTTTCATAGGTTTGAGTGGCGTATCAATCGATATATCGCAAAGCACGCCACGCCACTGATGATAAGTCATAGTTAATTTTTGCAGACTAATTCGACCAACTGCTTCACCATGCTTTACTGTTCCTAATGACACTTTGACACTTTGACTTTTCATTTCCACAAACGTTTGTGCCGGGAAAGATTTTCATCCAATCGACTGCTAGGAGGAAAAAATGGGATCGAAATTACAAAAAAAAAAAAAAAAAAATCTCAGAAACATACTTTTCGCGGTGTTGCTCATAATTACAATATCTTTAGCGAAAAGTTTTAGTAATTCATATTGTTTATCTTATTTTCTGAATGTTAAGCTGGAGCCATTATTATTATCAGACATGTTTAAAATTGAACTTTGATTCAGAGGGTCAGAAGCAGTGGCGACCATCGTACGCATCAAAGCGTGCATAAATCTATAACAAGTATACGTGGATTTATTTTGTGTACAAGTTCAAACACTACTGATTATGTGCTTGATTGAAAAATTGGCAAATTGAGGCTCCCATGACAAGCCTGCAGCCTGCTGTTCATTGAAACTCATTTCATATTTGAAAAAGAGTCCACACAAATTCAATAAATACAATCAAAGCTCCTGTGCTAGCAAAAAATTTTATCAGATGATTTTCAAGTCCTGCATGGGATCATGTAATTTAACATTTCTTCCGAGAAAGATGAAATTATAAGGCTGCTTTTTAATGCGTGCGCAATAGGTGAAAACACAGTTAATGCGATTCGTGTGAAACATGGAATTTTCCGTAAAAGTCCTTACTCTGTGTGTGCTGATAAAAGTTTCTCGTAATTTACAATTTTTTTGTTGGATCAGTTATTTTCTGTGAGAAATTTTTAAAAAGTCTCGGAAATGTCCATCTCCTGTCACTGCGTTTGAGCAAAATAATGTAATATTTTACCTCAATTTCTCTGAACAGCAAGATACGAGATACACCTCCCGTCCCATCTTTCGCTCAGACGCACATTAATTATAGCTAGGCATGGCGTGTTGCTTTTTGCAAATACAGATTTACAGGGTTGTATTTTACGAAATTATCATTGAAATCGAATAATTAAAAACTTATGTTAAGCTGAACCCTACAGGGATACCAGATATCTACATCTTTATTTATAGAAGGGTAAAACCCTTTCTGAAAGAATGCAAGATTCAGTTGATATTACGTTAGTGTGAGACTCATCGCCGGATATTATCAGTAGTTTTCTCTATGCATAATGTCTTCGAGTTCAATGTTAAGTGAAAATTTAAAGAGTTTTCTCTAATTCAAAATGAGCTTTCTTGTCCCCGCAAATGTACGAGTATTAACTCAAATTGGCGTCTTTTTAATATATTTTTTTCTTTTATTTAAACAAATAGGTATTTTATCTTACGCATTGCAAGGATTATATACCGTGTATCTATCTGCATGCATGAATTAAGTTAAATCAAATTTACGAAGGTATTTAGAAACAAAGCAGGTTTAGGTAAATAATGTGGATTATCTGGAAGAACAGCAATTATGGAATTCTCCGTCTCTTGTTTTAAGAACTTAGGTGCATGAGAATGCTAGTCCAATAATGTTATTCAGCAAAGTATAGAGATATTATTTCAAAATATTTGATTTTGAGCGGAGGAGACACACGTGGCAACCTGCATCCGATACCAAATAAGTATCTTTTTTGGGGTCACGTACACACACTTGCCCTCATAGGTGAACGTATTCACCAACCAACCTACACGATTCAGAAAAAAATTTCATTTCACTGTGACGCTGCATAAAAATCATGGCTCGTTCGTGTGTGATATTGAAAGTGCCATAAGGAGTGTTTTTCCTGCTGCTAGGCCACACATACAAAAATATTTGTTAAAGGCTGGGCTTGAGTAGAACTTCAGTCGTATGTTGGGGGTAAAATCCACCAATTGATAATTCTAACTTTCTCCCTGAATCAACAAAAATATCGTTTAAAACAACACTGGAAGAGGGTCTCTTTGATCAGGAGTCCAGCCTCTTAAAAATTTGACGGTATAAAATACTCTTGGTTCGATCGGATTTTCACTTGAATCGAGAAACAAGCCTCTTAAGTTGAGCGGATTTTCTTTTGATTCCAGCAAAAATCCGATTGAATCAAAAGCACTTTTTCTTGTCACTTTTTTAAAGATTATTTTGGAATCTGAATCTGGGATAATTTTTTTTTTTTTTTTCAGTGAAGGAGATTTCATGCTGACTCGACGAACATTTTTGACCAGGAATTATCAATTGGACTTTCTACTGATCTAACAGACATTTTTTTCTCGTGAAGTATCAATTTAAAAAAAATAATGCCATAATATGCGCAAATGCGATTGAAATTCTCATCCAGTTTCGTCAATCCACTCCTCTAAGCTTTCAGTCAGTGCTTTAGATTCCGGGGCGCAGTCTTCACTGCTTCGGAAATAAAAAGAAGATTTCGAAGTTGGCAGAGCTGCGGTAGGGCTCGAGGACAGAGTTACCAGAGGCGTGAAAGCGTCCGAAACAAATGTCAAAGTGTAATCCGAAGCGGTGTTTTCATTATTTTAAAGGTAGCAGAAATTCGTACGAGTGCCTCCGCGGGGAGCTATTAGGTTGAGACGAAAAACAAATGGAATTTATCACTCAGTTCCGTGGGAATGTTGATGATCCTGGGGAGGGGTTAGGGGAGGGGGTGGGGGCGAGTGGAGGACACGCGGCTACGAGACCCCAAACCCCGCGCTCACCGCAAACTGCGTGACTGGGTACACCCTCGCAGAATCTCACCCTCTTTGCGGCTGCTTAAATCCGGGCTCAACAAACTGGCTCATTATTCAAAATAAAATATCGCCCTTAACGGAGTATGACGTCGCGACCAGCGCCTGCCCGCCCGCCCCCGCCATCGTCCTTCCTCGGTTAAACACTAAACAATATTGTCTTTTTATTGAAACATTAACTCGCTCCTCCTGACAGCTTTCCCGGGAGTTTATCTGGATTTAGCTTCTGGATCTCGTCTGGATCATCGGTTCGGGTCGCCGCTTTTTCAACAACTTTTCAGGGCTCCTCCTCTCCCCCCCCCCCCCCCCCCCNAGGAGCCCCGGACCCGGAATCAGGTGCTCGCTCATTCGCGCTCCCTAATTTGTCTTCGGCTTCTTGCTCACTTTCCCTGGATGATATCGATCCCGGTTCCGCGTTGTTGCTTTTCTCAGACTCTAATCACGGGCATCTCTCGGAGTGGCTCCTTTCTTCCAATGTAGAGTCCTTTTATATTGAGAGTCAAGACAACACCCCCTCATGGAGTCACAAACGGGAATAAAGATTACAGAAATTGAACGTTTTTCGTAATCTTTGATCGGCCCATTCTCAAATTCCTTTCTCCGTTCCTTCTCTCATTCCATTTGTTCCTTGCCGAACCCATAATTCCCTGGGCCATTGTAGATTATAATCTTTGCAATCGGTGAAAATGTATTCTGTATCCCCGTTTGTGACACTGTGAAGGCCTAAAATACGGGAACCAATAAGAAATGGATTTACATTGTCTTGACTCTCAGTATAAAGGGACTCTATTCCAATGTTGGTGGGTGATGTTTAAGGTGATTCGTTGGACGCCATGTTTTATGCACTGGAAAAAAAACACATTGGATCTAGAGTCCAGACTCTTAAAAACATCGACGAAAAAAAATACTCCTGATTTAATCGGATTTTTGTTTAAATCAAGAACCCAACCTCTTGGTTTGAGCGGATTTCCTTTTGATTTGAGCTTAAATCTGATTGAATCAAGAGTATTCTTTCTTGTCAATGTTTTCAAGAGTCTGGACTCTAGATCCAATGTGTTTTTTTTTTTTTTTTTTTCTAGTGTGTCAAAACGACATGCGATATATCGCATCGATTGGTTCCATTTTTGCAGCTACTCGATCGTCATTATTCTCGAATTTTGAGACCGCAATTATGTTGTCAAGAGACTGAAGAATTCATACTTACTAATTTTGATAAACAAATTCAACGTAATATAGGCGTGTTTATTTTAGAAAAAAAATATTTTATTTTTTTCTTCTTCTTGTTATATGTATAAGAACTAACCTTTACAACCTATAGAATTGCTCCATTTTCCCTTTGTTTCCTTTGTCTATCGGTGTGTCTTTAAATGTCAATAAACAGCCCGCTGGCTTGATTGTCATTGCTGTTACGTTTGCATCGTCTCCTTGATCGTTGAGGAACAGATACGGTATTAGTGGCGCGTCATCATATAGGCAGGGCCGGATTAAGGGGGTGGCCACATGGGCCGCGGCCCATGGCGGCAAATTTAGGGGGCAGCAAATTTTGCAATTTTTTTAAATGTAGCTATAAAGAAAAATCGGATTCAGAAAAAAAAATTACGAACGAGAAAAAGTGACAAAATCTCTCATTTCCTGAGAGTATAGCGCGGTGCAGAGAGCAATGATGACGAGAACGTGAGATGAAAAGGAGAAACCCTCGGCGCGGCGGTCGGCATGTAACACATATTAGCGCCTACAAGACTACATGAATACTTCACGCATTGCGCCGAAGACAGTGCGTACGCGCGGTCGCTGCGGTCAGCAGCGGGCAGCGGGAAACGCATAGCGCCTACAAGACTGCATGAATACTTCACGCATTGCGTCAAACACAGTGCGTGCAGCAGCGGTCG